TACTGGCACTGAAGCTGGTGAAAGTGCTAATGTAAAACAAACTGAAGCTGCGAAAGGTGAAGAAAAAAAGACACAAGAAGAAACGAGTGCTACTGGCACTGAAGCTCCTGAAGGTGATAATGCAGAACAAACTGAAGCTGCGACAGCTAAAGAAGAAAATACGGAAGAAGTAACGGCTGCTACTGGCACTGAAGCTGGTGGAGGTGCTAATATAGAACAAACTAAAGCTGCGAAAGGTGAAGAAGAAAAGACAGAAGAAGTGACGGCTGCTACTGGCACTGAAGGTGGAGGAGGCGCTAATGTAGAACAAACTGAAGCTGCAACAGGTGAAGAAGAAACGAGTGCCACTGGCACTGAAGCTGGTGAAGGTGCTAATGTAGAACAAACTGAAGCTGCAACAGCTAAAGAAAAACATACGGAAGAAGTAACGGCTGCTACTGGCACTGAAGCTGGTGGAGGTGCTAATGTAGAACAAACTGAAGCTGTAACAGGTGAAGAAGAAAAGACGGAAGAAGAAACGAGTGCTACTGGCACTGAAACTGGTGAAGGTGCTAATGCAAAACAAACTAAAGCTGTTACAGGTGAAGAAGAAAAGACAGAGGAAAAAACGACTGCTACTGGCACTGAAGTTGGTGGAGGTGCTAATGTAGAACAAACTGAAGCTGCGACAGGTGAAGAAGAAAAGACAGAAGAGGAAACGAGTCCTACTGGCACTGAAACTGGTGAAGGTGCTATTGCAAAACAAACTGAAGCTGCGAAAACTGAAGAAGAAAAGACAAAAGAAGAAACGAATGCTACTGGTACTGAAGCTGGTGAAGGTGCTAATGCAGAGCAAATTGAAGCTGCGACAGCTAAAGAAGAAAAGACGGAAGAAGCAACAGGTGCTACTGGCACTGAAGCTGAAGGTGATGCTAATGTAGAACAAATTGAAGCTGCGACAGCTAAAGAAGAAAAGACGGAAGAAGCAACGGGTGCTACTGGCACTGAAGCTGAAGGTGATACTAATGTAGAACAAACTGAAGTTACCACAGGTAAAAAAGAAAAGACAGAAAAAGTAACGGCTGCTACTGGCACTGAAGGTGGAGGAGGCGCTAATGTAGAACAAACTGAAGCTGCAAAAGGTGAAGAAGAAACGAGTGCCACTGGCACTGAAGCTGG